GCGAAAAAAAGCAAAACAAGGAAAGGAAAAGAAGGAAGGAAGGAAAGCCCCACTGTTCATCACCTCTTATGTACAAGGCCAGCCACGTGGATGACAGGTTGAGCGCTGGCTGCCCCCATCCCCGTGTGTCACAAGGACCCACTTGCACGCAGCCAAAAGGCAAAAGAGGTAAAGAAAAGGCGGAGGAAACCAGACCTCACAGAAGCAAGAGAAGGAGAAAGGTCAAAGAAAAGACAAAGGAAGAAAGCAAATGACACATCCCACAGATAAACCAATTGCCACTGTCACTACAAAGTTCAACCTATTTTTTCTTTTTTTTCTTTTTTTCTTTTGTTCTTTTTTCTTTTTTTTTTTTTTTTCTCCAGAAATTTGTACTTTTTTTCTTTCTTTCTTTTATTTGTCCTACAATTAGTGTTGCTCCTGATCGCTTGATTCTATTGACCAGTCAGGAAGAGGAGCCCCCACCCCGGCAGATAGGACAGGCACACTGAGGATGACGTGGATGTTCACAAGGATACCCAAGGAGAGCTATTTCAGCACAGCATTCAGCAGGACGGCTAGCACGGACCATCCCATCAAAACAGCCGGCTCTTGCGAGCCCTTTGGCACCTGACAAAGGACATGCTGTCCACATGTCAAAAAAACAGCAGGACGTTCATCACAGTGCGGCATCATGCAGTCCTGATAGCGTCCTTGAGCACAAAAGGGACAACGAATATCTGGGTGATAGGGATGTGTACAATGCGGAAATGTTGGACACCCTTCGCCACAGACGGCGGCGGCTGCAATAGATTGATAATGTTGATGGCATAGGTGATGAATTCCGCAGCCAAGACGCACCGCGTCCCTGTCCCGACAGGTGCACACGAGAGTCGATAAATAATCCAGAATAAAGTATGATTCGGTAATGCACACAGAAATTCATTTATGTTGAAAATAGCCTGAATCATTGTCCCACCATCCCACAGTTTCCACTGGGCAGCTGCACGAACGAGTGCCATATAATGCCCGGGTCTGTGGAAAATACAGGCAGAAATATGAGGATGGTCATTAAGGTCATCGCCTGGTGTCGCATGATGCATAAGAAGGTGGTGACCGTGGAAAGCTAGCTGTAAGACATTTACAGTAAGGCCTCCTGAGGTAGTATAATTACTACCTTCAGGAGGTGGCCCATTATGGCCATACAACAACTGATTTTCAACAGTGTCAAGCTGATAAGCAATCGTAACAAAATGGGAAGCAGTATAACATCGACGCTGATAAGCCTGTAGGCAGACATTTGTGGCTGTCAACCCACAAGCATTTGGTAGATCTGCCCGCAGATCCGATTCGGTCACCACTGGAAAGCTAGGTCTGATCTGGCGGGGTCGGCGCATGAATGACGAACGCCGTCGACGTGGCAGAGAAGCTGTCGGTAAGACAAAGAACCCCACAGATTAGCATCAACACGACGTCGAGAGGAAGGGGGACTGGGAGGAGGAGAGAATGAAGGAACATGCCGACGTCCCGATATAGACAACGAAGAGAAAGGAGGGGCCAATCTCAGCCGGCGTGGGAGAGCAAATGAAGAAGAAGAAGAAGAAGAAGAAGAAGAAGAAGAAGAAGAAGAAGAAGAAGAAATGGATGATGCAGAAGTAGAAGAACTGGAAGTAGAAGTAGAAGAAGAAGAAGAAGAAGAAGAAGAAGAAGAAGAGGAAGAAGAAGAGGAGGAAGAAGAAGAGGAAGAAGAAGAAGAAGATGATGATGAAGATGATGAAGACGACGAAGAAGAAGACGAAGCAGACACTGGCAAAGAGGAAGGAGAAGGAGGGGGAGAGGGAGAGGAAGGCGGA